AAATGCTAACGGACATTGGCACAGAACTCAAGATAAAAGTACCCTTATTACTTATCGTAGCTGCACATACAATATATCCGATTAAAGCTGAGACTCCACAGATTATGTAGGTATATAGTATCATCACTGAGTGATCCGGACTCGCGACAGGAGAAGCAAATACAGTCATCACAACACGTACCTTCACAGAGCTTCTAGGGAGATCGTCTCACCACCGTAGCTGTCAATCTGATCAAAAGACGTGTTCAATGGCATTAAAATGAGAAAAAACGCGGCTGAATCGGTTAATCCATAGGTTTTTAACGTCTATGTATAAAAAAATGATTGAATTTATAATCCATAATTCCATTTTATGTAAAAAATCGGAGAGCAAATGCTAGCTGCTAATGGTAGCCACCACAGCTAGCTGCTGCTTCTGCTAGGCTATGCAGCAGTCTCAGTGAGATATAAATATATAAATATCTTTGCGTTTTGGACTAACTTTAAAATATTCCCATGCTTTTGAAGACCTAGGGCGAGATGTTTTCGTTTGGGGGCTTCGTGCGCAATCCTGTGAGGAGGAGGTGGTAGCCGTTTCAGTCTCCATTGTGTTTGAAGTGCGATTGCGAACTGCTTGTTGCTTTGGGTGACCCACGTGTGTGTAGCGACGCGTCGACGCGGAAATATGTCGTGGACGATATTTCGCTAGTGCTACAGCACTAGCGAGCACACTGTTTAGCAGTGTGTCGTAGGGTTCTGTGTTAGTATAGGGTTTGTGTGTGTATATTGCTTAGATCCAGGTTGATTAGCACCTGTAGACCAGCATTCCCGTGTGTATATTGCGTAGATCCAGGTGATTAGCACCTGTAGACCCGCACCAGCTGTGTTTTCCCACAGTCCCGTTTTGTTTATTGTTTGGTTTCCACTTTAGAAGTGAGGTATTTCCTTTCCTTTTGTATAGTACTGGGCAACTCTCTTTTGGAGACCCCATTTGTGAGATAGTGACAGCTTGACCCGTTGTTGGGCCAAGCTGTTTGTGTCATAATTTTACTAAGTTGCCGTTACAAATAAACCACCGGTAACATATACCAAATCCAATCTGGTCGTGTCGTTTCCCTTTTGTACCCCTAGCCAAGAGGGAACGTAACACGTGGGGGTTCGTCCGGGATCAATTTAAATCAATTCCTGGGGTTATACAGATGGAGCGCTCCATTTCAGACGCCTACCCGTGCGGGTCCGTGATCGGCACGGGGTGGGCCCCTTCTGAAAAGGAAAACCCCCCCGCAGGACTTGAAACGCCCCCTTGATAAATACATTTAATTATAATGAAACCAGCTGAAATGGATAATGGATCCACCAGGGGGAGCCGTGATTAAAAAGCTGCCACACTGGAACTCATGTGAAATAAACAGCTGATCTACAGGTATCTGATATAGCGGATATTTGTTAAGATCCATATGTCACGGATAGGATCATATTCTGTGCTAAATAAGAGACATGTAATCATTTACTAAACATCCCCATGTTTTTATTTAACAAAATAATGTTTAATTCACGTTGGCGTAAGTACAAAACCATCGCTATGTTTTTAGATCAGGAAATGCATCCAGGCTCAAACAAACGATTTTCAATCATCATCCTCACGATCATTTAATGTATCATATGTTCGCGAGTTGAAATTAATGCACTAAATTTAATCCACGTGAGTTTACAACAACAAAAATAATCGCTTTGTTTTTATATCACATCCGACCTGAGGAAAATGCAGCACGGGTCTCACTACCGATCATCCTAATCCCACGGGCAAACAATAATATGTACAGTGTTAATAGTTTACTGTATTATTAGTGTCTAATATTACTGGGGATTTCGGAATGGTAGCCTACTGGATTTTGATTTATTGTATCGGCTTCATATCGCAATATATTCCCAAAGTCTGAAATGCAAACATGTCCCACATTAGGGCAATTCACCCTACATTTAATCATTCATACACAATTATATTTCGTTTCTTTTTAACGAAATAAATGTGGTTTAATCCACATAATTTACTGTGTTAATTGTTTTCTGTAGTATTGTGCACATTACTTTTCGCTGCTTGTTGCACCCCTGGTTAGAAGCTAAACTGCATTTCGTTGTCTCAGTACCTGCAATATGTGCAATAACAATCAAGTTGAATCTAATCTTGAGCAGGAACAAATGTATTTAGGCTACTTAGTACATATCTGACATAAACGATTAAACACATTTGTGCATTCTTTAAACCGAGTCAAGCCGAGTCCGGAGGTGGCGGCACATTAAAGTGTGCACCTGATTGTTTAACTTGATCTTAATCTTTCAAACAAATTCATATTTCGTTTATTTTTAACGAAATAAATGTGGTTTAATCCACATAATGTAGGCCTACTGTGTTAATTGTTTAGTATTGTTTAACTTGAAGGTGCCTGATGTGAACATTTCCAGAAGAACTCTAGCTTGTATGGCCTTTGTATGTATACAGTAGGCCTACACATAGGCGGCGCGTGAGGCTCAGGTTTGGGAAGGCTAAATAACTTTTTTTTTCATCTTACGCTGCCCGCCTCCGGCGTCTATAGAAAAGAGATCAACTCAGTGAAAGCACCGCCTGCTGACCGATCACAGCTCAGTGTGCGGAGTTTAAATCTATCAAGTCATATTACAGGAAAAAGGAAATGCAGTTTAAACTGCCGTATGCAGAGAAGACGCCGACGTGTCGCACTTATCATTCATATCACACTGACATCACATCATCAATCAGATCATCGATCTCACATCGATATCACAATATTTCCTTATCTGAGTCAGCTTCTCGAGCCGTATCTGGCCGTGCAACACTTAGTTACATTGTCACATATACTGTATGCAGACGTATTATTTTAAGCAACACATTAAGTTGACGAAACACTCAACTCAAATGTAATAAAGTCAGATCCCCTTGTGTTTTAGATGGGGCAGTATCATAAAACTGTTGTACGCTTTCAAACACTCGGTAGTTTATTTTTTAACGAGTTGTTCTGTATTCTCCTTGCAGGTGCAACTATGTGACGTGTATCCTGGATTATATGTTTAAGTCATCATGGATGTTTAAAGTTCATATTTGTCTAATATTAGTTTACTTTTCATTAATGAAGTATGATGTTGCGCTGTCAGTACACTTGTTCCTGTTTGTGATTGGTCAAATGTAGCTAACCCCGCCCCTTTCACGTGAACGCGTTCTCAGCTGGAGAGAGAAACCCTGGCTTGATTTACCGAGTTGATAACCAGCGCCGTAGGACCGTTTAGCGAGATCGCGTTTGTTAGGGTTAGTTAAGATAACTCAAGCATATCCAGGGTATGTTGAACTGGCTTCGTGGTACAGGGCACAGGTGGCTGCATAGCAGTGCTAATGTCAAAGACATTATATATGTATTTTACCAGGATGCAGTTACACAAATATTTGGGAAGGCTTAGCCTTCCCTAGCCTACACTGTCAGAAATAAAGGTACAGTACAGGTACATTTTTGTTCTTTAAGGTACAAAATATACAAATGTACCCTTAAAGGTACACTCATGCTCCTGTATGGTACTACTAATAAGTACCCTTTTCAAGTAAAAGGTACGCATTACATATGTATTGCGGAAAAGGTACATAAGTGTACCCTTCACATAGTGAATGCCTAGCCTGCAGTGGCTCTGCTCACTTTATTAAGTTTTAATATTTGTTCAGGGTTGAAAGTAACCATGTAGATCACCAATAAGTGGAAAGTTTATCAAAAATAACGGGCTGTTTGTAATTTTTTCAGGTAGTTGAACGTATATCCTCCTGCTGCAAATATTTTGTTTTACAAGTAGGCTATTTCACTAATTTCATGAATGATATGTGATAATAAACTTGGTTTAATTTAATTTTAATTATTATTGCTGTGCTTCGCTGAGAAATAGACGTTAATGTTACACAACACCTGATTGGTTAAGAGAGCTGAGAGCGGGAGATAATCTAACGGTCATATTTGGCCAGATTGAAAAATTTAGTGATGGGAACTCCGGCTCTTCTTGGTGAGCCGGATCATTTGGCTCGGCTCACCAAGAAGAGCCGGCTCTTTCGGCTCCCAAACGGCTCTTCAGTTTACCACTTATTATACCTTTTAATTAAATCAAATGTAGCCCTGTTTTGACTAATGATTTATATGTGTACACAGATATCACTTAAATTATTCAATACATCCTTTGTACTGAAGTATTCAAAAGTAAAAATTACATGTTTAATATAAATGATTTGCTGTGGCCAATTGTTTTCATTGCATTTACAGACACGTGCAACTCTCTGATACCACCCAATGAATGCATTGACTTGCTTGTAGAACCACGCTACACAAAACAGGGGAGCGTGCTCTGAGATCAGCTGCTGGGCTGTCAGAAGAGGGGGAGAATCTCCGTCCTCGGTGTTTTATTTTTATAGACGTAAGAAGAGAAGTAATGGGGCAGAAACCCTCCTTTTTACGCAGCGGTCCAGACATATACATCAAACGGCGACACATATTCAGTTGCCAGTTACTTTGGCATTAGGGCAGGGATATCTAGATACTTTCCAAGGTTTGCCATAATGAATTGTGCTACTTTTAAAGCAAGCAACGATGTTTTCAAATCTGTAATCAAAAAGCTCCTCAAAAACACTATCGAAGCAGTTCCTGCCGTTGCTACGTTAGTTCAAACAGTAACAACGGACTACTTTTCTTAGCGGATGCATGTAAATTTAAATCAATACATAAATCTATTTTTTAAATCACTAAAATCATTTTCTAAATCCATAAAAGCATTTCCATTAATATTGGGAGTCATGTCGTTACTTTGTTGAGAATGTGGCCATGTAATAAGCGGGATAATGTGCACATTGCACATTGCATAATGTGCCTTCATGCCGATCTAGATCCCTCCGCAAAAATGGCTCGTTCGCGGGCGAGAGCCGGCTCCCGTCGTTCACTTAAAAGAGCCGGCTCTTTGAGCCGGCTCGTTCGCAACCGACACATCACTAGAAAGACTCCGTTTTTTCAAAAGACCTCGGTGTTACATGTAACATGGCGAACAGTGGGACAACTTCTGCCTTGACCTGTCTATCCACTAGTGATATTATCACCAAGGTAGTAGAATATGGGATAGAAGTAACTGAACTGGAAGCTAGGAAATTCAGAGGTAAGTGAACTTTACCTTCATTCATGACTGGTCAAGTAGCTAACATTTAGCTAACTAAGGCTAATGCCTTTCATGAAAAGACCGGGGAGATGGTATCTAACGCTAGCTATCTCCATAGTCCCTGGAGAACAACAAAATACTGCCGGTTAAATGTTTTTGAATGTATTGGTCATAACGCAACCGTGTGTGAAGCTAACTAACGTTACCTAGCTAACTGAATATAGTTAGCCTAGCTAGCAGAGCGCCGACGCTAGCCATTACGTTATTTCAAAGACAATGTACATACAGTGAGCGCGCGATGGAGGCGTTGTGACAGTTGTCTGGCTACTTTGCTGGATGGGTGATTAGCATGGTGGCTTTCACTAAAGCTCACAGACACGGGGCTATTGACCAAAATGAATCTGTTCATTGTGGAAAAGGCACTCATATTTATTTTCTTCTGCTTAAATAAAGGAGAGATTCTTCATTTCCAAGACAACGTTAGTTAGCCGTAGCTCAAGATTAGCTACATATGTGCTAGTGTAGTGATTGCTTGACATGAGCACACGCAGACATGTAACGTTATGCGGGAAGCAGCCGTGTGCGAAGCTACCTATGAAATGCCCCTTCACACCAACGCATATATGGAGTCAGATTTGGGTCAATATTCTCGCGCGTAAAACAAGCTACTCACGAGCGGAAAATGTGCTTTTACACGCGCATAAAATGACCCTCGCGCGCAGATTAAACCCCCGCGAGCGGCTCTGCTAAATGTATTGCTAACCTGACTAGAACTGGAACTGCTAACAATGAGATTGGATTTGACTTGAATGTGGAACGACATAATGTCAGCATGGATTAGGAATGATTACATTCTGAAAAGTGTTTTGAGATTTGCTAACATAATTTGTGTCTTCAGATAATGATGTGGACGGGGAAGCAATTTCCTATGGCCTGACTGAGACGATGGTCGCATACCTCTTTGAAGGTTCCTTCAAAAAGCAAGCAAAATTCCTACAATTTGCACGCCAGCTGAAGGAGCCAGAGCCATCTACAACGCTGACTTTTGAGATCTTGCCAAATGACTGTCTTTCTCCAACATGGCAAGTGTGACATTACCTTGTTGAACGCTCAATACTAACCAACTGCTTTTATTTTTTATGATAACTTTTGTTGTAGATTTCATGTCTTAGCTTTACTTCTATGTATTAACTAATCAGGGGGGAAATTGTTGACACTTTCATTAGAATAGAAATATCAGTCATGGGAAGCAGGAACATGTGTTTACAATGACATGGGAGTGTGTGATTGAATGGGAAGGGGTATTGATTACATGGATGATCAAATATCACTCACACATAGCGATAATGTGATTAAATATAATCACATGTCCTCACATATTTTTCAGCTTTTTTATCCTTTGCTAATCACATGCCTCTTTGTCCTGCAGTCAAGAATATGGGAGTTTCCCTGCTGTGTTTACCCTGCCAATGTTCCCCAAAGATATCCAGACCAAACTGGACACAAAACAACCATGCCATAAAGTGTCTACTGATAGACACAAAATCGTGAGGATATTGCATGAGACGATGGCACAATACACAATGTAAATATTGCTATTGTAAATATTTGTCAGCACACCTTCTACAGTATTGTGATCATACAAATACTTAACTTAACTCATCCTGCTTTCTCTAGGTATCCGATAAATTCTGAATATATTAAAGTGGCCAAAGCATTGATTTTCAGGTATCCTTTCCTGAAGGATATGGAGGGGAATGGATATGTAAGTTACTTTTACTGGTTTTATAGTCCTATGTGGTTTGGTGAATTGACAGATGTTATCTCCCCTATAGCATTTTCGATTAAGGACAAAAGCCTTTTCGAGAGCTCATTTACAAATGAACTTTTTCTAATGAGGTGTTATCTGGGTTACATCACAATATATGTTTTGATTTCCATAACCTGACATACCTGATTTGTTTGTTTGACACAACCAACTGGGAAGACTCTATGGTAAACTGTTTTGAAAAGGGCTGGCACTTTCAAAAATACTTGTAACGTAACTTGTAACGTAAAACGTAAAAAAACAAAAACATTTATATCTACATTTAAATAAATAATATCAAAATAATAAATACAGAAGATAAACAAATATTTTGGAGCGCACTTCCACAACCTACTAAACATATATAAATATGATAACTAATGTCACTCACAACCTGTAATGTTTAATTATACTGCTACACGCAGTACTCTTATTTTGGTAACCCCTCACCTGGAAAGAGGAAGTAGTTAAGAGGCTCCGGCTTGACGAGGTTAGTAAAAGTTGACTGTACGCTAGAGATCGGAGAATAAAGACACAGCAACTAAAGCTTCCCTTGTAACGTGTTTATATGGATTTATTAAACAGACCGCAAGACACAACCTGGCCGAGCGGGCTTTTAGGGAGGGCAGGATGTGTAACGCAAGACACATTGAGAGCATCATTGCGAAAGGGAATGCACAGATTAATTGCACAGCCCTACTGCGTCCTAGCTTCCACCCTCACTTGCCCACGTGGGTACGATCTCATCCTCTGACTTACAAACTCTTGTGACCACCTCAAACACCACCAACTACGCCACTGAAATGCTAGTATTCAATGGTGCGGGTGGGCGATTTATACTGAGGAGTGAGTTTAATCAATTCAACTCACTTACATCTGCACACATTGCTCCCTTTTCTAATAGCAGACCGTGTTCCACCAGATAGTAAATATTGGAATGTGTTCCTCTTGTGTCGTGAGATTTCAGATATTGTCATGGCATCTACAGTAAAAAAGCGGTGTCTTCCCATGTTAGACTTACTTGTACAGGAGTTCCTCGGAGAAATGAAAGACGTATTTGGGATCATTACACCCAAGTGCCATTATATGATACATTACTCTCGACTTATGTTAATGTATGGACCTCTTCGATCCCTTTGGTGCATGCGATTTGAAGGGAAGCATCAGTATTTAAAAAATGTTGCCAGTAATTGTAGAAACTTCATTAACATAGCTACAACACTAAGTAGCCGTCACCAATACAAACAGTGCTGGGAGTTTTCCTCCAAGATTTTATGTGACTTTGAAAAAGTACCAGGAAAGAGTATTGGCACACCATTTGAATCTTTACCAGCCCAACTTCAGACAGCTCTTTCAAACTTTGTAGGAATTGATTTGAATGGCAAGGTTGTTCAACGTGTATCTGAGGTTTTATTACACAATGTTAAGTATGCCTTAAAGGACATTTTCGTTATTGCTACAGTTCATTCTGAGGAAATTCCCTTGTTTTTTGAGGTAAAATACATTTTAAACATGGACACAAAATGGGTTTTGTGTGGGAAAATGCTGATTCCAGTATCATATCTTAAACATTTCCATGCATACCAAGTCCAGTATGACACTGATTGGTCATGTTTTCTGCCAGGCCAAGAGATCAATTTTTCACCTCTTGATAGCTATACCGTGGATGACAAATTGTTGGTGAATATTTCCAAGTAATATTGTGACTGGGTGACTGACTGACCGACTGGGTGACCAGTATGACACTGGTCATATTTTCACATCTTTATATAGCTATGCAGTGGATTACAAATTGTTGTTGAATATTTCAAACTAATAAGAATTGTGAAGCTTTGATAGATTGCTGTATTTATGAAAATGTGTTTCATTGTATTGGTGAATGTTTCACCCATTGATATATATATATACTGTGGATGAATGGTTGTTGGTCATCAGTATATCAAAAGTATTTTTTTCTATATTGATGGGTTATTGAACATTTATTTTCATTTTTCAGCGTTCGTAGGAAATTAATTGATGCTTTTATTGATTATTGTTGTAGCATGCAAGTTGACATTTATATTATGTGCTGACTTTCTGATGGGAGTGATAACGTGTTTTGATATTGATTAAATTAGATTAAACTTAAAATATTTGGATTTTTGTCTGACAAAAACCTATGCTCACTTTTAAAGGTACAATAAAGTGACAAATGTGTACCTGAAAGGTACAAATAGCCTTGTCACTGGGGTGGTACCCTAAAGAGACAAATTTGTACCATTTCAGAAGGTACATGTATATGTACCTATGTAAAAGGTATATATTTGACCCTTGAGGTACATACAAAGGTACAATGTACAAGGGTACAACTTTGTACCCATAGTTTTTGTACCTTTTTTGTACCTTTAGGGTACCACCCCAGTGACAAGCATTTGTACCTTTTTAAGGTCTTTTTCGTACCTTTTTTTCTGAGTGTACAGCACCCGCCGCCCCTGGGCCTATACAGTATAGCCCAACCATGTACACCTTCCTTTTTTCCCGTCCAAAGTTTGAATTGGATAAAGGTAATGGTTATCGATGGTGCTTTTATAGCCTATTGTATAATAACTGTGTGATTTATATTGCTTTTCAAATGCATATGGCCACCCATTTACACTGCTCTTCCCGTCAAGAATATGAATAGAACTTAGTTAGATCACTTTACATTTCTGCAAATTAATTTGTAATCACACACGTCTCCCCGTCCCGAAAATGATAAATAAAACAAAAAGAGGAAACCATTTTCAAGTTCAGTTTTCAACGTTTTATTTAAAATGACTGACATAACACAGACACCATACTGTATATCTGCTGCGGAAACCAGGACGAGCTATTTCGGGATCTGTTTTTCGGGGGCTCCTCAGTCTCTCATTTACCCGGCTCCTGATTAGGACACATCCTGGGGATTGTGTTTACAAACATTGACCAGACCGTTCACCAGCCCCCACCCCCCATGTTGCCTATGCTGTCCTGTGTTGCGAACTCTTTGTTTAAAACGAATTGGCCATCGGAATGTGTGGAGGAATTCTCCCAAGGGTCACATTCCACAGCTCTCCCCCCCACTCCTGTGATCTCCCATCCCCCAGTCTGTAGGTTTGTGTTTGCATATTTCTATCCTGTAATTCATACTGGTCCTCTCACGCACATACATTGTCCTTACAGTATACATACATAGGCTATATGAGTCCGTGTATCTAAGGACCATTTGTTTTTCTTGATTAAAAAAGTAAACGGAAGAGCGTCTGAGAGGCGTTTTTGCCCTTTTGCTTATTACCTTACTAAATGGTCTAATGGTCAGTGGAGCGAGGGGGGAGGCCCGCGAAACATGCAGAAGTGATTTCAAAACAAAAAGCACTCGTTTGCTTGGAACAAAGAAAACGGCCAAGACACACATTGAGTCCAGAAAATGAATGTTATTAAGGGCTGTAAATATAATAAGCCTGTGTCTAAAATTGACAACAGGCTTATTATATTTACAGCCCTTAAGATACACTTTTGTGTTTAACAGCTGACCACTACAATGACATACTTTGTTTTAGTAGATTTCGCATGAGAGCAAAATGTATAAATATGAGCATTACATTATATGAATATGAGAACAAAATGCATGAATGTGTGAGTGACAATATATGAATGTGTGCATTGAAATATGATAATATGAGAGCAAAATGTATGAATGTGTGAGTGTAAATATATACGTGTGTGAGTGAAAATGTATGTATGTAAAAGGAGAATATATGTGTGTAAGAGTGAAAATGTATGTATGTAAAAGGAGAATATATGTGTGTAAGAGTGAAAATATGCTGCATTTTGAATGTCCGATAGTCCACCATTTCCACCGGAAATATCAAACATTTAATAAAAGTGAAAAACAATGAACAAGACTTAACGTATTCATCATAATTAATTATATTTATTTCGTTTGGATGTAGGATTTTTGACTTTGTTTAGAACAGTGATCTTCTACTATATGCAGGGCTGCACATAACTGGTGCGCAGGTGCGCATGCGCACCTCCGCCAAAAAAAGAGCACCGGGTCATTTGAAACAAAGTGCATTTGCATACCAACATTGAGAGAGGGAGAGAGGGAGAGAGAGAAGGGAGAAGAGAAAATAGAAAATAGAGGAGAGAGAGAGAGAGAGAGAAAGAAAGAAAGATATTTGCGAGTTGCATATGAACCATGATATGAACTCAGGGCCGGCCCGTAGCCCTGGCTAGATGTTCGCCTAGGGCGCCAGATCTGGGGAGTCGCTGCGCTGGCAGTTCTGGGAGGGAAAAAAACATTTTGACTGTTGGGGCTCATCCTAATTTTCGGCCTTGATGTAACAATATTCATAATTAAGTAAATGTAACACCCTTTTCACCCCGGTTACACGTTTCATTTGCCCTGTACGATGGGTGCTGTAAGTGATGAAAATGGGGGATGTTGGTTTATCTGGCGCCCGCAGCTCACAGCCAAAATGCGAGGGAGAGAGGGAGGGTGGCACCGGTACCAGCGCTGTTGTTATTAGAATCTGGTGCTAGCTGCTCTAACGGATATAAGAAGAAGATGTTTCTACAATAATGTGGAGGGAGAGTCCTCTCCAGTCAGACTGAGAGGCTGATACTACAGCTCAGTGAGGTAAGGACTCTTAGTCTAAGTTCAAACGGTTTGGTCACAATTTATGTAAACACATATTTCCAAGGCACTCCTTTATAATTATTGGGATAAACAGGTTTCAAATCATTCCAATGTATAAGACAGTAACCAAAAATATCCTTTAAAACTGGAGAGATAAAAAAAAATGCATAAATAAATAAATGTTAAGGTAAAATAAGATATGAATGAACAACACAAATAAAATAAGTTACATTCATTTGTTATTGGCTATAGGTTATTGGTTATGTTCACATACTTATTTGATTACATCCACTTGTCTAAGATGACAACAGAGACTTTCGACCTAAGAAACCAGCTGTTGACTTGTGGATGCAAGCAGCTAATCGCAGACTCAACCAGAGAGAAAGTAGTAGGCCTACATCATCAGCTACCATGTCTGACAGAGAGGAAGACAGTGAGGAGAACAGTCAGGAGGGTAGTGATGACAGCTTGTAGGATTACTGGTCGTGCTAATGTTGTCTTGTGTTCACCTCTGCATGTGTGTTCTGTGTTCACCTCTGCACGTGTGTTCAGTGCCGTGTGTCTGGCAAATAAAGTCAAGACCCCCTCAAAAGTTACGGTTTATTTCATTTTAAGGATTCTCCTTTGAGAACCAGGGCAAAAAATGTATGTGCACCCCTGACTATATGAACATTTTGGACCCAAAATCACAACAAAAAAACGTAAAAACAGATTTTGAAAATGATATTATTTTTCATATAGGTAACACAAACATACACAACGAAACCATTTAAAAGCTGTAAATATATACATGGGATGTCACTATGATAATGTGAAAGTTTGATTGAGGTAGCATGGGATTTCATTCTGATAAGGCAAAAGTGTTATTATAAATATAATACAAATATATATATATACACATTATGTACAAAAATCTGTTTTTTCTGTCTTTATCTGTGCCACGCTTCAAAGCGGTTTCTGTCAACTACGACACAGAGGGCAACATCACAGATTCCTCCTCCTCCATGTCAAAAAACAAGCTTGAAGCTTGACTCATGTTCAGAGTTCTCTTCATCATAGTTGAATCTTCAAAACTCTAAATCTATCTAACTATATCTAAATTCTCAATGTTTGTCTGTCACTTTACTTCAATCGCAGTCTCCCGCCGTCTCTCTTCGTCTCTTTTCGTCTCGTTTCGTATCACTCCGTTTACCTGATTACCTCACCCCCTCCCTCCCTGGTAAATACATCCTGTTGAGCAGAATCTACAGTTTCCAGTATTTTCCGTTTCGTAAAATGATAAAATACGGCGAAGATATTAAAATATGTGCTTCCATTATTCATACTTCTGAAATATATCTGTATTAACTTTATATCATTGTATGCCCGTGTTTATTGGGTCTTTTTGCATGAAACAAAGACTGGCATATAGTTTCAAGCATGGATGTATAATAAGAACTGGATACAGCGTGGGAGGCGGGGCCTCATTCATTCCTATGAGAGCTGCTCATTAGCGCATGATGATTAAATGGCTCAACTTTTGAGAGAGTGAAACGTCACAGATTACCCAGCATGCCTGGGAAGTACCCGTATGTGCACTCATAGAGCATGCGCAACTTTAACCAAAATGCTCGTTCACATCAAGCACGTCAATTTGCGTACACGTAACAGCACCGCGCGTTCATGACAGCATGGTAATGGATTGTTGTTATCATGGATTTGATATTAACGAGGCGGCAGATATTAGCTAGCGGCTAGCTAGTAATGATGCTAATGTACACATCAATCGTTATGTACTTATATTACGCTGTAACAGGATCTAGTGATATCCAACAGAGCTTCATTTAGCATGAAATAATTATTGCACTGTAGCCTATATATATATATATTTATATACAGTGCAATAAGCTTCTTAGTGCAATACGAAGCTACAGGGACGTTAATAATGTCGGTAATATTAACTTTATTTAATACAACATTTACGGTACAAGATTTAATCATACAGCCCATGTAGTATGATAATGAATTACAGCAAACATGTGCAATATATCCATTATTACAGCTCCGTGGGATGGCAGTAAGACGATATGGATCCGTTCTTATTGTGCATCCATGGGTAAAGATAAACGCAACTCACATTGGTTTCTCATACAGCATCTCTGTAAACTACGTGTATTCACTGAATTTCACTCTCTGCCTTTAACGGCTCGTTGTAGCTCCAATAGCTCCAGCCCCACCCTCCCTGTGAGCACAGTGTGCTCTGATTGGTCGGGACACGTAACATGAACGTGCCGGGGTGGCGTGGTCCCGTGGGTTAGATGCGCGTTCATAATGCAGAGGGAAATAACTCTCAGAATAACGTTATTAGCACATTTTTACAACTTGAGGAACGAATGTTTTTAATAAGGGCTATACAAGTGTTCATACTGGGTAGTTTATTTAGTTTAAAAAAAATTATCCAACGAGTTAC